TGCACAAGAATGCAGCGCAGTATCGAGCCAACGATAGTCGTATGGACTCGATCTACGACCGCATAATATTACAAATAAAGAAAAAAAGAATATGCGAGAGAGAGAGAGCGAACTATCACTCACGCTTGTCGGCACCTCCTCTCGTGGCTGCTTCGCTCGACACAACTTTCGGCAGCTTCCTCCCGCAATCTCGCTCGGTGTTAGATATTTCCAAAATTCCTCCTCAGGTCTTAACCTTTTCGCTCCGGGACTGGTCCATATATGGACCAGCAAGAAAAGCGAATGTAATAGATGTTTATAAGGTCAATTTAATGCACTAAATTTAGGAAAAAAATTGAAAAAAATCCTGGTTACTTCTTTGACCTTCAAAATTAACTTTGAAGGGGGGAGGTAGCAGGTTATTATTAACTTTTTCAGCTAAAATGCGAGGTCAATTTTAAAGGAAAAATTCCCGGAGCGAAAAGGTTAACTACCGGCACTTACTCACAGCACGGTACACGTCTTTACGAGAGGCGAAGAGCTTGCGTCGTTCATGGCACGCACAACAATGATCTCGGCCCCTCCTGAAGTTGCTCTAGATGTCGCATGTCGTTTCTCGGCCAGGTAATTAGCCAATCATACTTTGCGTTTCGCGGCGCTATGATTGACGGCGGCCACGTGCGTATCGGCAATGTGTTAACGCGGGCTCTTTTTTTTTCTGGTCGCGTCAGCCCTCTCCGCTTAATTTCTGCTGTAGATGAGCTTGCTCGGATCCATACCCTCGCATCACGGGGCTGACAACTCCACTGGAGCTCCGCTCCAGTTTTTGTGAAGTCAGGGTACCGGTATCTCCCGTTTTCCAGTCCGTCGTCAACATCATCGCCTCGTGCCTCGCGTCTATTAGGCTCTTTTACGCCCCTGTATCGCTGTCTGTCCTTCTCGCCTCTCCTCTTTGCTCCGTTACGACCGACGCTACGTATCGTGAGCCGCTCTCTCTCTCTCTTTCTCTCCAAGCTGAAATGAATTACAAAATAACCGCCAAGCGGTTCGCACGGCAAAATCAGAATTTCAGGGCGTTCTAACGCCAAGATTAACCTAAAAATACGTGAACAAAAATTAATAAACATTGCAACGCTTCAATCAGGAATAGCAAACGCTACAGGCGCCGAGCGCCTCCGCTGATACACGCGTTTTTGCTTGTCGCGCGCATCCTAACGTGCTGCTCTCCCTTAAATCGTGGAAGACGCAAGCCCATTGCTTCCCGTGTCGGCCGGAATTATTTCCTTGTAACGGACACGAAAAGTGTCACGTCACAGTATATACATTGTAGAAAAACAGTAAGTATATTTTTATATGTACATATGTGCAATAATATGATAAAAAATATTTCATATTTCTTTACATATTATTCTTTATATATTATTCTTACATATTATTCTTTAAAAACAATTAGATTAAATGTAGACCCAATACAAACAATAAATTCTCTTTTATCAAAAATATATAAGATAATTATGTTAAAAACTAGGGTTCCTTATGAACTCGGGGGAGTTTGAACTCACCACCTTGACGTGGTCCCCGAGCTTGCGTGGGGCAAGGATTGGAAGGGCTATGCCGGCGGGAACCTCGGTTCCTGGCAGGGTCTCCCTAGCCGGTCAGGCCTTCCATGAGCCTCCAGACTAAGAGTGAGTTCACGGGCGTGCGGGCTCGTTACCCCAGTGGGGGAGCCGCACTAAGGGAAGGAAAACCCCGACAGCAAACCTGGGCAGGGCGAGCTTGTTGGCCATGGTCGGCAACCGTCCTAGGAGAGGCAACTCCGAAATAAAACCATTCTTGCAAATAAATGGGAGGTACACCAACAAGGAAAAGAACGTACCAGGACAGGAGGTTCGGCGTGGTGGGGTTACCGTCCCGGGCCCTGCTACGTCGTCATCATACGACGGGCTTCCTGATGCATGCACCGCAGGTGCATTAGGGGATTATGCGACTGCGAAGGCAGAAATTGGAGGTCTTCCAACTTCTGTGTTTTGGGCAGAAGGGGAGTGCACCCCGCGCAACGAGGGCGCCAGTCTGAAGCTTGGCTCCGCGTGTAGCCCGGACTCTGCACGAGTATTGATGCCCCCTTCCTGCCAGCCTCGCGGGCCTGCCGAGGAGGGAATCATCGGGGTGGTGAACGACGAAGACGTGGAGATGAGGCCTATGTCCTCCCGCTGTTCGTCCTCATCCGCTCTGTATGGGTCCGGCAACACCATCGCCACCTCCGCCGCCAGCGGATCGATCCTCAGGAAAAGGGACGGTCGGGGAAAACCGCCCACCACAGGCGCGTTCGTGGGGGTCAGTCGCGCGAGGGAGGAGATAAAGAAGAAGAGAGAGGCGGCTGAGGAAGCATCCCCTCGTAGGAGGGTGGCCTCTGAGGATGAGCACCTTGACGAAGAAGAGAAAGGTAGGGACAGGTGCAAGCGCGCGAAGCGCCAAGCTCGCCGCGACTTCCTCAAAGAAAAGCCGGAGAGTCCTCTCTCCGTTAACAAGAAGCCAATGGAGGACTCCGGAGGTGGTGGAGAGGATAACGGACGCCCTTCGGTTTGTTGGCACGGTTGCAACCAAGTCCAACAACCTGAAGGGCGTCAAGGCTCTGAAGGACGTGATCACTACGATCACAGTAGTGGCCGAGGAGGTCCGAGAGAGGGCCGAAAGAGACGAGATGTACCGGATCTCACGTCAGCTGGCCCGGGCTCGCGGAGAGAACAAAAAGCTCTCTGAGGAGCTTTAGGAGCTCAAGGTCGTGCTCGCCGAGTTGAAGGCCAAGTACGGGGCCCCCTCCTCTCGGGAACTACCACCACTCCTGCAAGGTCAGGAGTCCGGCGGTCTAGCCGGCATGGTCACCCGGGAGGAGTTGACCAAAGCAATTGGAGAGGCGGTCAGCAGCCTTTCCAGTAAGCTGGCGGAGGAAATAAGGCGGAGAGTCGGAGCGGAGGTTGCCTCTCGCTTCGACGTCCTTATGCCCATCTCCCGTCCGCCGCTTGCGACCGATAGTCGCCGCTCTTCGGCGACGACCCGGCCACCTCAGGCGGCAGGAGGGAACGAATCTGGGAGGAAAAGCGGTAAAAACAAGACTAGCCTACCTGCCGCCCCCTCCCAGAAAGCTAAGAAAAAGAGTGAGCCGCCTGCGAAGCAGGCAGCCGCTCAAAAGAAGGAGGTTCCGGGTGCGTCCGTCGCCCGACCCACCACTACTCCTTCTTCCCCAACAGAAACCTGAACACAGGTTGTGAGGAAGAAGAAGAAAAAGGAGAAACAGGGGGTGGGAGCGGGTAAAGCTCCCCTCATCAGACCCCCCACATCCTCTCACGCTAGCCAGCAGCGGCAGCTGTAGCAGCAGAAGCAGCGGGGGAGGGGGGGAGGAAGTAAGAGCCAAGCCTCCCCCAAAAAAGGGCGGGCCGCGTGCCGAAGACGGCGGCCGTTACGCTCAACGTGCTCCCTCCCCGAGGGGGAACGCTTAAGTTTGAGCTCGATGATGGCGAGGGCCCGTGCGGCCATTAACCTCGCCGATTACGGGATCGCCGGGCTCAGGCCAAAAAGAGCCATAACCAGAGGCCTGATCTTGGAGGTCACCGGCGAAAACGGAGCAGAAAGAGCGGACGCACTGGCTAAGGCCATGTTCGCCCTGTTTGCAGAGGATGAGGCCAGAATCTCCAGACCCGTCAAGACCGCGGAGGTCAGGATAAAGGGTCTGGAGGACTGTGTTCCCGGGGGAGGTGACCGCGGCCCTGGCAATAGCCGGGGGATGCACCCAAGGAGAGGTCAGGGTGGGCCCTGTCAAGCTGGCCCCCTCTGGCCTCGGGGCCGTGTAGGCAAGGTGCCCAGTGTCGGCTGTCCGCAGGCTGGCCGATCTGGGCAAGATCACGATTGAGTGAGTGAGGGCCGTGGTCGATGTACTGGAGCACCGGCCGCTCCAGTGCTTCAAGTGCCGCCGGCGGGTTCACGTTAGGCAGAAATGCCCGTTCCCCGCAGAGAACAGGAGCGGGCGGTGTTATCGGTGCGGGGAGGTTAGGTTAGGTTAGGTTCACAGGGCGGCCCTGTGCGCGGCGGACCCAAAGTGTCCGTTGTGCTTGGACTTAGGCCGCCCTGCTGGCCATCGCTGGGGCAGCCAAGCCTGTGCCCCTGCCCTTCGGAAGGGCAAAGGGAGCAAAAGCTCAGGAAGAGGGGGCGCCAGTATCTTCCCCCTTACAACTGCGGAGATGTCAGCGGGACCATCGGGCCCCGCTGCGGGGGGGTTAGTCGAGCCCCCTCCTCAGGAAGGGGAGAGCCGGGAGAAGGAGCTTATGGATGCCGATTAAGGTAAACCATGGCTCTCTTCCTCCAGGCGAACCTGAACCACTGCCGACGGGCACAGGATCTTCTAACCCAAAGCCTGGCGGAGTGGGGAGGGGGCTTGGCAGTCGCGGCTGAGCCGTATTCGGTCCCCGCCCACTCCGCATGGGTGGGGGACGAAACGGACTCAGTCGCGATGTACTGTATGTGGAGCCGCGAAACTCCGGTCTTTACTCTCGCCGAGAGGGGACCGGGGTTCGTGGTCGTAGAGTGGGGGGAAACCACAGTGGTGGGATGTTATTTCTCACCCAACAGGCCTCTCTCCGATTTCGAGAGGTATTTGGACGGGCTCGATGCGGTTGTAAGGCGTCGACTTCCTCATTCGGTAATAGTTCTGGAGGATTTTAGGTAATAGTCCTTGGAGGAACGCCAAGTTGGTGACATGGGGCTCCCCTAGGACGGGGGCTAGAAAAGAGGTCCTGGAGGAGTGGATGGCGATCTGCGGGCTTCATCTACTAAATCGGGGCTTGCAGCACATGTGCGTGCGGCAGCACGGGAGGTCGATTGTCGACCTGTCGCTGGCTTCCCCAACTGCTGTGCCGCGTGTGTCCGGGTGACAGGTCAGGACGGACGTGGAGACGCTTTTGGACCATCGGTACGTTACTATGGTGGTCTCCACGTCTGGTCAGAGCGCCCGGAGCCGTCAAGGAAGGATGAATATCCCACCACCGCAGGGCTGGGTCCAAAAGGAATTGGACCCAGATGCCTTGGTCGCTGCAGCCCACGTGGCGGCGTGGCCGTCTCCACCGGTCACGCCGCGCGGCCCTTGGGAGGAGGTGGAGTGGCTCCGGGAGGTCATGGTCAATGTCTGCGACACGGCCATGCCCCGCTCCCGGGGCCTCCAAAAAAGGGCGGTGTACTGGTGGTCGATGGAGATTGCCCGACTCCGTACGGAGTGTGTTCGGGCAAGACTCCAGTACACCTATGCCCGTTGCAGATCATCCAGCAACGAGGCCACGTGGGCAAGAGAGTATGAGGGCTATTGCAACGCAAAAAAGGCCCTCGCGGCGGCCATAAGAAGGGCCAAGTCTCAGGTCTGGGAGGAACTCTTCGGGACTCTGGACAGAGATCCGTGGGGGCGCCCGTACAAGATTGTCATAAGACGACTGCGACCTTGGGCGCCCCTGTTAGCGGAGAGTCTTGATCCCCAACTCTTGAGACGGGTGGTTGATACCCTTTTTTCTCGTGGAGGGGGGGCTTGGCCCGCCCCGGGAGGCCCACCGGACCATGTAGAGTGGTCTGATGAACTAGGGGGCAACCGAGGAGGAGATGATCATGGCTATCCAGAAAATGGGCAAAAAAAACACCGCCCCAGGTCCGGATGGAATTCCTGATCGGGTCTGGGTTTTGGCCTTAGGCCCCCTGCGTAACCGCTTCAGGCAGCTTCTGACTGGCTGCTTGAGAGCGGGGTGGTTTCCCTCCCGCGAAGTTGGTCGGAAGGACAGGCGACCGGCGGACTTACCATCCGCGTTCCGGCCTATATGTCTTCTCGATGAGGTGGGCAAGCTGTTCGAGCGAGTGCTCGCGGCCCGCCTCACGAGCTATTTGTCTCAAGGGTGGGCCCCAATCTGGCTAATAGCTAGTATGGGTTCCGAGAGGGACGGTCCACTGTGGATGCTATCCGCCATGTGGAGTCCCTCTCGGAGGACGTAACCTCCCGGGGAGGAAAGTTGATTGCTGTGTCATTAGACATAAAGAACGCGTTCAACTCCCTCCCCTGGGATAGTATAGGGCGCGCACTCAACTACCATCGGGTGCCGCTTTATCTAGGGAGAACGATTGGGGATTATTTTTGAAGCAGATGGGTTGAGTACGTTGATCGGTACGGAGAACCGCGTCTCAAGGAAATGCACCGCGGGGTCCCGCAGAGGTCGGTGTTGGGGCCGCTCCTGTGGGACCTTAGGTATGACGCGGTGATCCGGGCCGCTCTTCTCGGAGGGATCAGCGTTGTCTGTTACGCGGACGACACGCTGATTTTAGCCTCCGGGGACACTTGGAGGAACGCGCGCATCCGCGCCGAGGTGGGCGCGAAATGTGTCGTCGGCCGGATTGAAAGGCTGGGCCTATCGGTGGCCGCTCAGAAAACCGAGGCCATATGGTTTCATGGCCCTCGGGGGCGGCCACCAAGGACCAGCCTAAGGGTAGGTGACGCCAGAGTCGAGGTGAGGGATACACTTAAGTACCTGGGTCTCCACCTCGACAGCCGTTGGCGCTTTGAGAGCTACTTCGAGCGCCTCGCCCCCAGGGTGAAGAAGGTGTCGGCCGCGTTGGGCCGCCTCTTACACAACCTGGGGGGTCCAGATGAAAGGGTCCGCCGCCTCTATATTGGGGTGGTTCACTCAGTAGCCCTTTATGGGTCACCGATATGGGCGAGGGTTGCACAAACCACAGGGCGCAGAAACTTTTACCAACTCCGCGCCGCGCAGCGGGTCATCGCGCTGCGTGTGGCTCGTGCATAACGAACCATCTCGTATGAGGCGGCAAAGTTGCTAGTGGGGGTGACCCCGCTGGACCTCATCGCGCGGATACACGCGGAGATCTATGATGGCCGGGGGGAGAAACCGTCCTCCTCCCGGGTAGGTTGCGTCACCTAGAGGCCGTGACAGGGCGGAGTGGGGACTCTGTCCCGTCCTGCACGCGGCCTCCTAGATGGGCGGTGGGAAGGGAATGTGTGTTCTTCCTCCCTCCCGCCGCAGTTAGGGTACAAGAGGGAGTTCCCTCTCGGGAAGTCCCAGTCACAGCGCGGAAGGGGCCTGCGATGAGTCCATCAAGGGGTACCGGATCCCTCCCCTCTAACGCGCTGGGAAGACACATCGTGGGGGTTTTAGCGGGTATACTCTCCCCACTCTTCGGAGCGGGAGGGAGAGTCCCGGATAATTCCGACCCCTCCCCAGGGCCGGAGTATCCATAAAAGATTTCTCCCACGCAAAAAAAGGGTTTCTTATGAAGAATTTTTAAATATTTAGTTGCTTAAATTTTTAAATATTTTATATACAAGGTATCTAAAAATTTTTGACACAGCCGAAGTGTTAAGATATAATATATTCGGTAAATCTGAACAAAAAAATCATTTTGTATTTCCAATAATTATTGAGTAATTAAATAATATATGTGATTCAATGAGCGTGTAGTAAGCGATGGTATTCGGACTCTGTAGACGTGTATGATTTTCAGTTGTGAAAATTCCCTGATTGCAAGAAACTGTGTCACTACTCGTTTGGTTGCTCCGCCTCTTGCTCTCTTCATCTCTTAGGAGATTGCATGAGGTAAGCCAGTTTTCTTTACAACTGGAAATCATTTCCCTGCTGGAGAGCGTAGCTCCCCTATCTAAACGCTTACAATACGAACAAAAAGAACAAAAAGTAGTCTTGTTAATTTGGTTCAACGTTATACATAATGTACATTGCAAAATATTAAAAGAATTTGGCGTGATATGTGAGCAAATATTCCACGTTAAGGAACATCAATAGAACATTTGTAAGCTATATGTTACGCGTTTCAACTTCGGACTGATCGTACCGAAGTGGTCGTCAACCATTAGACATACTTCACACACACAAGCACTGAGACACGTGAAGCACCAAGAGAAAGACGCACGAGGTGTTCACTCGGTGTACCCCGGCCTGAATCTCGAGCTTGGCGCCGAAGGGTGCAATGGACACTAAGGGAAAGGCGCACGAAGTGCCCGCTCCACAACTGCCAACTCCGGCCTCTCCGGAGTCATCCGCCGGACTCCGAGGGAAAGACGCACAAGGCAATCCGACGGTCCGAAGGTAGCCTCAGGCTTAACTGATACTGAAGGGAGAGGACGCACAACAGTATCAGCGGGCAAAACGTGATATAAATATAAAACGATCGAGTCTCTTACCTTTCGCCGGTCGTCGCGATGCTTTAACGAAGAACGCCGTATTACTACTACTACCAGCGCTTTGGTTAATCCGCCTTTTATACTAGGCACGCAGTGGGGAGGGAAGCGATATAAACAAGACCCGGCAAACACTGAGTTACGTTGTTATTACATGTCTTTTTGCTTTTTCTTCGAACGTGATATTTATTACAAAATCAAACAAAACATTACAACTTAAAGTAACTCATTATTTACCTAACTGTAACCGCTTTGCGGCTACTTACACATTACAAATATTACATAACATTACAAATATTACAAATTTTACATAGCTGAATACTTATTTCAACGTCGCTTTGCACACGAAGAACGGATAGATCAGGTTTTTACAATAATGTTAGAGATATATTCATTACATGATATTCGGTTACAAAACAATGAACAATACTTACAAGGCATTATGAAAACAGTAAAACCGTATAACATTATACAACATTACACAGAATAAATAACAAAAATTAAAATTTTCAACATTTGTTTATGGTCTCAGTGTTTTAAAATAACTTTTTACAAACAACGAACGACGGCTAAAACCTTTTGATGTTACTCAGGGAAGTGTTCTTGACAACATATGTCAATCTTATTTTTTTTTCTTTCGGGTATTTAACGTGCCTTTCAGCCACCTGCACGGTTTTGTTGGCTATATGACACACATTATCTTCTCTGATTTTTTTCGTTACTCTATGCTCTCGTTTTTCCCTCGGAGGGGGAATGTGCAGTGGGGACTACAACCACGCGATACACGGCCGTCTTTCACAGTGGGCGTGCCCATCTGTGTCGGGTTCGTGCTCAAGGTGTTGTGACTCAGATCGCCTTGTGGGAGGGGAATTAATTCGGGAATACACCCGAATTAATTATTGGAGGCCCGATTAAGTTCGCCGATCAACCAATCAACTTGGTTGAAAGGGACCGGCCCGGAAAAAAATCCTTAGGTGGTAAGCCGATTCGAACTTGGGACCTCCAGGTTCGCAACCCCTGCACTCAGGCCGCGAGACCACTGGACCGGTCTGTCAATCTTATTGAATTCGGAAGGGAGTGACTTTTTGTAAATATTTACCACTACAATAGTTATAAACTGTCAATTAAAATAAAAACATCCATTTTTGTAAAACCTGTTTTCTTTCGAGTCATAGTTTATCGGAACTGGGTTTTTTGCGTGATCCAAGAAATGTAATCCGATACTCTTGTGTAAATGCCAGGAAGTTGTGGTCTACTGCAACCTATGCCGGCCGAGACTACTCCAATGACTATCAACGACCCAGTATGACGACTTCTGACCATTAATGGTCCGCCACTGTCGGCCTAGAATAAAATATATGTATAGCTATATAGGTTTTACGTGTCTATAAATGTAGTTACGCTGAATGAATATTATTTGTGATCGAATATTTTTATTTGTATTATTACGGAAATTTAAGCTACAAGTTATTTTTTATCAGTGTGTGTGTGTGCGCGCGCGCTTTAATTATTTTGATTTAACTTTTAGTTTATTGAAAATAAGGTTAAATCTAAAAAAATTGATAACTGCAATTTTCTTAAATTATTTGAAAGTTTGATGAAATAAAGTAATAAAAACTCACAGTTAAACATTTTGGAAAACCAGAGTTAAGTAAACTTTTAACAAAACCTGAATTTTTACTTAAATTGTAGAGCAAAAATGTTATGTGTTTTAAAAGATTTATATTAAACACAAATGTTTTTGACTATATCATATAAATTAATCAAACTTTTTTATTAAAAAGTAACTTACAAAGTAATAATTGGAAAATGCTCGTATTGTAACTACAAATTAAGAATATAGTCAAAGAAGTCAAAATCAAGCCAAAAAAAACAAGGTTTTAATATAATAAAGAAATTACATTAGTATATAAGAACCGCGAAATATTTTGACTCTAACTAGAGTCTTCTTCGGCAAAACAATACAAAAATTAAATAGAAAATAATTGGTATAATATAGAAGTCAAATATAGATGTTGTTACGTCCTGGACTCCACGGTCCCCTTCTGTTTGGAACCAGACATAAACTAGCTTTAAGATTTGCGCCTTAGAATTAATTTTAAATAAAAATCCTTGAGCAGAGAACAAAGGACCTATTGAACTAAGATAAACAGACCCGTATCGCAATTTTTTATCTAATCACTCTTACCGACTTTCAAAGGAATACCGGTCAATTAGTCAACAAGTAGCCCGGATGTTTGGTTCGCGAATAATTCGCGAATATAAACTTAGATAATTTAGGCGGTCCGCTAATCTCTAGCAAGGAATGTTATGGCACCGAAAATAAACAGGAAATTGCACGTGCAGATAATAAAGTTTAAACAAATGTTGAGTGAGTTAGAAAGAATGATTGTCGATGATTGGTCCTCTCGCCTGATCGGATTAGCAAATGAAGGATTGAAATTTTAATCAGTAAAAAGTGGGAGAGTAAAATCTAAAGACGATTGGCAAAAATCAGAAGGGTTAACGCCCCGAGATCATCATATATAAGGCGTTAGAACATCGGAGAGCGCGCTCCATAACCATCATTACAATTATTAACATGAAGATTTTATTAGATAGATTTATAGAATAGATGTTGAAGCTTGTAAAAAGAGAAAATGTGACAATAAGATTAGTGCAAATTTAGCAGAACCGCCGGAGAGACACATACGTTTACCCTCGTCTTTCTAATGTCATCTATCCTTTTGTATTGTGTTGGTCCAACTTGATCCCGAAAGATGATACCACTTACCCGACAGCGTAGCGGCTGAGTGAGCTAAATCGAAGGTCACTCGTCGCTTCAGCATTTTCTTAAAAGCCTCTCTGAGACAGTATCAAAAGTGTTTAAAAGTAATGAATTCCTACTCGGATACAAATGTTTTAATAAACTTAACAACATAATTAAGGCCCACGAGAATAAAATCGACCATAATTCCCACACAAACATTGTATGTACAATCAATTGCATTGATTGTTTAGCGTCTTATTTTGGGTAGACTAAGAGATAATTAAAAACAAGACTTAAAAAACACATTAATAATATTATATAAAACGTGATTCTTCCCAACTGTCAATAATTTCAAAACACAGAACGGATCTTAATCATTCTTTTAATTGAAAAAATGTCCAGATTTTAGATTGTGAACCTAATTATTACAAAAGATTGATTTTCAAGATGATCCACATAAAACGACAGTCACACGGCTTAAATTTTGTTAACGATTTGGAATTACTTGACACTTTGTATTTCAATTTACTTAATTGTTTTTACTATTAAGCTTATCCCAATAAACAACCTCTTGGAAGAGATACTTGTATAAAAATCTTTTGCTTTTTATCTCCAACATTTGATTGTGCGCTCCCAAGTAAGTTGTTTGTGAATTTTATTCTTATAGTGCAATTATTTTAGCTGAGTATTCCTTCTAATCTCTATCATTATAGGCTGTCATCCACAAGATAATTCCATTTGTTTACTGACCACGAACTAATTACGCTCCGAATTGAACATGCTTTTTTACATAAATGACAACCAATCACTTTTAACTTATTTTACACTGCGACTGCTTTTTGTTTTTTGACATCTATAATTGACTTCTATATTAAAGCAATTATTTTCTATTTAATTTTTGTATTGTTTTGCGACTGAAGAAGACTTCAGTTACAGTCGAAATATATATTTTTTGCGGTTCTTTACTATTGTAATTTCTATACTATTGTAATTTCTTTATTATATTAAAACCTTGTTTTGGCTTGAATTTGATTTCTTTGACTATATTCTTAAAAAGTAACTTTGTTCAGCAAATAATAATTATTATGTTTATTTGGTATAGCAGTTTATATAAATATGATTTTGTAATTGGTATTTTCTATTTTAAGTATTTTAGAATATGACAAACATAAAATTTAAAAACTTTTGCTAAAGCAAAAGTAATAACTAAAAGATTTTTGTTTAATTTTAATAGAACAATTAATAGAAAATCTTTAGGCTTTGAAGTTTCTAAACTAAGAAATATATAAACGGTTATAAGAGCCGTTCGCTGGATGTTGTGCGAAAATATACGTGTATATATATATATATATATATGTACATATGTGTGTGTGTTACGTGTAAATCTTACACGTGAGTTTTTGAATTGAGATTTAAATTCTAAAAAATTCATATAGGAATATATTCATATAGGATGCTATATTTGCATCACATATATGAGAGACCCCATATATGCTCCTAACTAATTTTAAAATATTGCAAAAAAAACTCTCTCTTCAGCCAGGAGTTGAACCTGGAATCTCCGGCTTTCCGTGCCGTCGCCTTTCCTATTCCAACATCCAGCGAACGGCTCTTACGATCGTCTATATATTTCTTAGTTTAATTTTAATAGTTTATCACTTAAATCGCTACACTAAACTAATTTCTCTCTTCAGCATCCTGTGGAATGGAAACCTAACCTAACCTAACCTAACATAACATAACTTTTCCTTTTCTTATCACGTCATTCTCATACACATGCTACTTAGCCAAAACTCCCTTAGCAAAATTATAACTTCATCCATTTGCGTTTCATACTTTTTAAATAGATTTACTCGCTATTCTTTATTTCTTTCATTCTCATCGTCCTACCACTTTCCCTTTTCATATCTTTTTCCTTATCTATTTCATCTCCACTATCTTTTTAGTCTCTTCATTCCATTGAATGAATTTCTTGCATTCAAATTCCAGTTTCTTATATCCTATCCGTGTTGTTTTTCCTTTCTGTCTTTCTTCCTTAGTCTTTTCTCTAATAATTCTTTGAATTTTTTTATCCTATCTCGACAAGTCATGATCGATAAAAATTTTACCGCTTCTCAGTTTCTTCTTAGCACCCATCAATTCCTATTTGCTTGCCCAATCTCTTATCTCTACAACTGCAATCTCTGCTTCTTCTTTTCCTAGTATTTATTCTTTTATCTTATCCTTAGCATCGAATTCTCTTTCCAGAAAACTCAATACTATGTTCTTCATATTAGGAGTATAAATAAGTTTCCGCCGTTTGACAAAAGATGGTCTCAATAGTATGTTATTGTTAAAATTGTCAGCTGTAAAACGTCATATCGTAGGATTGGATATCTGCTAACAACATAACCTTGAAATATTAGCGATTTTGTATCAGCATTATATATCTTTTTTTGTGCGAAAATGTCGAGTTTTGAGCCGAATAAACGTCATTTGCGGGAGCTTTTGATTTACTTCTTTAATTTGAAGAAATCTGCAGCTGAGGCGCATCGATTGCTTGTAGAAGCATATGGTGAGGCTGCCTTAAGTGAAAGAAGTTTCCGTGAGTGGTTTCAAAAGTTTAAGAACGGTGAATTTGACGTCGAAGACAAAGAACGTAGCGGAAGGCCAAAAGTGTACGAAGACGCGGAATTGGAATCATTATTGGATGAAGATTCGTGCCAAACGCAAGAAACACTTGCACTTACATTAGGAG